CGTTCTTCCGCGCGGGAAAACCTGGTCGGTGAGGCGGGGATCGGCTGGCAAGTCCCCCCCCCCGCAGGTGGTAGGACCATCCGGGTGTCTTAGTTCATAGCGCGACCCCTCGGCGATGTTCCAAGCCACAGCTCGTGTTGATGCTAGTTAATTACTCATGAAACCCATGGGTTTTGTTATGTTGGTTGTGACCCAAAACGGCCATGCCATGCCATTCCTGACAGCGGTGGTTCGACTTCTGGATCTTGAAGAACACCGCGACTCGTTCTCAAGGGTATGTTCCTAAGCTGAGTGGGGGGGCCACTCAGGACGCGAGGTGGACCCATCCATGCCAGATTCCGCTCCCAGCTGCTCCGCACTTGCCGAATCGGTCGTATGAATCGGTCGTACTCCAGGACCTCATGAAGAGTGTGGCAGAACTCTTAAAGCGGAAGAGGCGCGACCCCTTCAGCCGGCTCAGCAACGACCCGCTACCCAAAGGGTTTGGACTCGGCAAGGACCCTCACAACTAGGCAGGTCCATGGGCCCTGAAAACATGTACTGTAGCAGATGGTTCTTGTCCAGGGCCACCTTTGGGAGTGAAGGTGTTGGATTTTGACTCCCACTGGGTTTATCTGGGAGTTCATATTATGGTAGACTAGACAGAGGACGTCCTCTAGAAATACCCAGTTTCACCCCATTGCTTGGAGTATGCATTGTATTGCACTTGTATGAGAGTCCATTTGGAGAAAACGGATGTCGTGCAAAGCGCATCAAGCAAAAGCCGTGAAGAATACAGACACAGCAAACATAGCCACAAAGCACATCATGATAGGACACAAACACACGTTCCAACCAACAGCTTGAGGAACAAAGAACACATGATCCTTCATATTGTAGCTTCACCCTGGACATCGGATCTGCAAAGAAAACCACTACGAACCAGTTTACATATCCCAGACACTCCATGTATGCCATATATGCCTACATTGACCCCTCAAACCACCCCAATGTAGGCATATATGGCAATACATGGAGTGTCTAGGGTACAGGTAATCCGTCTTTGGCTGCGCCTTCCGTCCCAGGTCCAGGTCTCCTGGTGAAAGTGACTCCGTGACGTGTTGGCTTTTTCTTGGCAGTCCAATGAGGTCCATGGGAGCATGTGAACGGGCTTCCCTTTGGAAAGGCCAGCAACCTGCCGGTCTTTTGCTAGGGATCCAAGTACCTTCTCAGAAGGTACTTGGACCCTCCAATCCCACATAACAGTGCCTCCAATCACCTTCTGAGAAGGTACTTGGATCCCTAGTAGGGTTTCTGAGTCGCCCAAACCACCTGCCTCGCCGGGTCCAGCGAGCGAGCGAGCGAAGAGCGAGCTACAGCTGGCGCCAGGTTACGGGCCAGCGACCTCTTTAAGAAGATCGATTCCTCTGGCGACGGTGCGGGATCTTGGAGAAGTGGTGAAGTCCAATTGGGCCAAGCCTGGCACCTTCACACCCGGACCGTCCAGATCGGTCGAGGATCGAAGAACGGTCAAGCGGAGACCGGTCGAGTGTGGTTGGGTTGGACATGCCTGAGCTGGCTCACATGGCGACATGGCTCACGATACAGCCGTGGAGCTCAACATGTTGAATGTTTTGGAAAGATTCCAGTGCTGTTTTCCCATGTTTTCCCATTTTTAGCTGCATCAATAGACTAAAACCATAGACCTAGAATCTCTGGTTCCTTATATAGTGGTAACTGGGATGCACTGGGATAGTTTTGTTTTCCGCTATAGAGCTGTATCAATAGTTTGTCACAGGAAGTTCATTCCCATCTTCACAAGTTCGCATGGCTCCCATCAACCAAAAGTCCGCCTTCTGCTTCGCCCCCCCTTGCCACCCCGATGCGGATCGAACTGTGGCGGCTCAGCTTTCCATGGCGCTTCACCGTGGCGCGCGCTCTGCGCTTTTCGCCCCAGGCAACGTCACCGGGGAGGAGCTCCGGATGGGCCTCCATGACCTGGGCTTCAAGCTCTCGGACGTGTCTCCGACCTGAACTCGAGCGGTCCGGTGGGAGCCGGTCCAGGGGGTCGGTGGGGACCGGTACCGGAGGGAAAGAGAGCTGAGAAATCGGATGGACGTTCCTGGTCTGGTCTGGTCATATCTGGTCATGTGCGACACGTGATGGGGTCAAGTACCGAACAGACAAATGGGACATGGACCAGTGTTTCTAAGAGGTACGACTGAGTCCCCATTTGTGTGAGAAACGAAGGGGGTCTACTCCAGGTAGTATATTGATGAATCAAACCCCGCCATCGTCCTTCTTTTTGGCTTCCGTCGTGAGACGATGATAGTTGTGTTCAGGATTCAGCCGGCTAGTGGGCTCTTTGGAATCTTCAAGCTTTGGAATCCCAGGAATTCCGATGAAGAGTGATCTTCAAGTTTCGGTGATCTTCAAGAGTGGGCTCATCCCAGGGTCCACACATGAAGATCACCGAAGCTTTGCGATGAGGGCCTCTGAGGCGATCGTGACACGGGGGCAAGAACCAGGCTGAGGTCAAGCTGTTTCAACGTGAGGGTGTTTTTTGAAAACCAGACATCATCAAACATTTGTCAATCTTCAATCAGCCAATCAGCTACACTCCTGGAAATCATGGTAGCAGTGGAAAAACACGACCTGTTTGTACAGGAACATGATGGAAATGGTCATCCTGTCCACTTCCATGGAAATTATCAGGAGTGTGGTATGAGCCCTGGCCCTCACGCTTTGCAGGGTTGTTGCCGCGTCGCGTCGCGGTCACAGCTCCGGCCTGGTCTCACATGGCTCGATCACTTTGAGGCCGACCTGGCCTCGATCATGGCCGTGATCGCCGCTTGGACATGGGGTTTCGTCTGGTATTCGTGGCATGAAAGCCAAGCCACGCACCGGACGTCGATGGGGTTCCCCCTATGGCGTCGAGCTGTGGAGTCCGTCTCCGTCCATCCTGCCGACTCCTCGTCCGTCCGGCCGGCCGAACCCGAGGACAAGGACGGTGGAGGAGAGGTCTCGGTGAAGGAGTTCGATCGTGCCATGCGGGCGGCGGAGAAGTTGCCCTCCAAGAAGGAGAAGCACGATGCTGGACTTGGACTTGATGAGGTGGCAGGGCGGATGGACGAGGTTTGTGATCTTCGTGTGTGTTTTGAAGGCAGAATGCGTTGATGACAGGATGCGGAGGGGAGAGGAGCTATATATGATGGGAGGGCTCCCCAAAAAACATCGGCGGAACGGAAGCTCAAACCTGGGTCGACCATTGAGCCAGGCAGTTTTGGAGGGTTTTGAGGTCAGGGGTTCCAGGGGAAGAATGACCAGTGTGGGTGGTTGAAGACGAGGCTCTCATATGCTTTTTCCAACAGGTAGAGGCACTTGGAGGGATTTGACTATACAGTAAGCTCACGGCAAGTCACCCGCGCCACAAAGGACTCAGAGCAACCTACAAACTTGTCAAATAAAGTCATGTAGCCACCAACAACCAACAGAAAATTTGTCATGTTTTGGGGATTGATTCATGTGTTGTATCAGGACAGCTTGCAAATTTGAATCCAGCGGGCCTGGCCACTCGCAGCTCGCACGTCCCACACCCCCGGTCCCCGGGCGCTGACCGAGGAATTGTCCAAAGGGATCCCAGCCAAGAAGGCGGGCATCACTGAGGAAGAGAAAGTGCCCCGCTCGTATTTGGGGGGGCCCTGGGAGCGCGAGCTGGGCTTCGCGCTGCAGTCACAGGTCAGCTCGCGCACCATGTTCCGGATCGGTAGGTGTTCGGGCGTTGGCACTGGCGTTGTTCCAAGGAAGGGTTGGCACTGGCGTTCTTGTTTTTGCGCCTGCGCCTTCGAGGACGCGAGGACGAGAGGTGTGTTTGTTGGAAGTTGGAGAGTCAGTGACATCGGTTGCTTGTGAATTAGAGGGCGGAGATGCCGTAGTTGACCTGTCCACCCATCCATCGGACTTAAGTGCTTTAAACTCTACCGATCAACAGCTCAAGGATGCGCAAGACAGTTAAACCGAATCAAACATCAGCTTGGAGGGTGCTGGTATCACTCGACATAGACTTGGCGACATGACCCTGGCATTCCGGGAAAACCGCTTGGCCGATGCAGCTAAAGCACTGAAGTACCGAGACATACTGAGATTGAAGACATAACTGATGGGACTGGATAGCTATGGATAGCTACATTGGGGTGGTTGAAGAGGGGTCAATGAAGTTAATATAATAACAACAGCAAAAGCAACAACAACAACAACAACAACAACACACACACACATTGGAAATGGACACCGCCATGGGCTTAAACTTTAAACGCCAATTAAAAGCCAGTCCACAGAAGTGTTTGGATACGATTGGATACCCTGAGAGTCCTTCTAACCTTTTTTTTGATTGACTTCGTGGCCCGAGTCCATGCCTTTACTTTGAGGGTGCCCGAGGTGCCAAGTCCAACGGGAACGGCTCGAATCACGATACCGGTGCATCCACCCTTTGAGGGTGCGGTGAGCGGAAGGCTTACGGGGAGTCCAACTGTACGTAGGGGACCTGTTCCCTAAACACGACCCATGGGACTAGCATATGACACCCCGATCAGGCCAGGGGTTGTAGTTAGGGGTAGTCCATGCCAGTCCATGCCAGTCCCGTCTTGGTTGGTGGTGTGTCAAGTCGTTTGATCTTGTTGTTCAGTCATCTGGGTGCTGCCTTGACGGTTAGATGCAACAGATGGCCATATATAACTGGAAGAGTGGCCAGTGGGCGCCAGTGGGTGACGAAAGAAACCCGCCCGCTGGCACCGATCCAAGAAATACACACACAACGCCGTTTTGGGGCGCATCCAGCCAACCCCTGCCGCGGCACGGCCTGGCCGGTGGACCGCCCCACGGCGTCGCGTCCCACCGGTCCACCGGGTGGACCGACGTCCGTCCGTCCGTTCGACCCGCTGAGGAGGAGTTCCGACAGATCTTTTGCTTGTTCAAGCAGTTGACCCAGGCGCATTCAGAGTGTTGCCCCGTAGGTGTTGCCTGGAGTTGGAGTCGAGTCTACATCCATCCGATGCAGCTTTTTTGTCGTGGTGTTGCCTGGATGGAGTTGCTGGGCTTGCAGGGTCGAGTCTACATCCATCGGATATGCAGCTTTTTTGTGTATTTAAGCCCGTGGTTCGTTTGGTCAAGCAGCCGAGCATTGTGGCTCAAGCTCAACTCTCAAGCATTTGGTTTTGACGACCTTACCACATTCAATCTCAGAGAGAGGGAGAGAGATGGGACAGTGCTGCGCTCCTGGTCATCGCCAGCCTTTTCTGACACATCACAACACAGCAGAGATCTTCAAACAGTTTGACACCAATGGAAATGGGGAGCTGGAAGCCACCGAATTGAGGAGCTTCTTCAAGCAAGCTTTCCCGGAGACAGAACTCTCGGAGACAGAGATGAATGACTTGGTGACACAGTTTGATACTGACCAGAATGGAACAATCGGCCTCAATGAGCTTCAGGCCTTCCTTCGCTGTTACGAACCATGGACCAAGACCATCCAACGCAAGACCGCTCTTCTCGTCATCGATGTGCAGAATGATTTCATCACCGGGACTTTGGCGGTGCAGAATTCTGACAGCATCGTGAAGGTGATCAACGAGATTAGAGACCAGTTCGACTGTGTGGTGATTTCTTACGACTGGCATCCACAGGATCATTGCTCCTTCGTTGAAAGCGCCAATGATGGGAAGCTAAAGATCAAAGAAACTGGGAGTGTAGGCAGCTTCAAGGCATTCAACCAGGTGACATTGCTTGCCGACGATGATCGAGCTGAGCATGCACAAATGCTGTATCCGCGCCACTGTGTTCAGAAGTCATGGGGTAGCGAGTGCCACAAGGACTTGGTTGTGAAGCCACAGGATATGTCCGTCTACAAGGGGCAGAAGGCCAACATTGACTCTTACTCAGCCTTCTTCGACAACTGCAAGGCCAATGACACTGGCCTCACGAAGCAGTTGGAGGATGCTGGAGTAACAGATGTTTACTGCTGCGGCTTGGTGTTTGACATTTGTGTCAAGTCCAGTGCTTTGCACGGAGCCGAGAATGGATTTCGTGTGTCCGTGATTGAAGATGCCTGTAAGCCCTTGAGCGAAAGCGAAGTGGAGCCGACCAAGAAGCTTCTGGCGGAGGCTGGTGTCAAGGTGATGTCCTCAAGCAAGGCCACAGAGGAGGTGAAGCAGATCGGAGGAGGGAAGATGGCTCTGAAGGAGTTTGTTGAGTCAGTGAAGCCCCACAAACGTGCGGCTGCGCTTCACAAGTCTGAGACGCTTTCCTCTCATTGTCCTGCTGCCAGGTAAACGCCTAGCAGGCATACAATAGGCTTGCCAGCGTTGTGAGTGCGTGTAGACCAGAGAAAGCTGAAATCACTGAAGCAAATAGAAAACAAACCTGCAGTTGATAGGCATTAGTCCTTGTCAGCTTCCTTCTTTGGATCATTATGTACATTAGACTTTCGACTCCAGTAGCCAAGCCCCAATTTAGTTGGCTTGGTCAAGTTAGATGGCTTTTACATCTCCAGTCTTGTGGAGTTGTAGTCATCTACATTAAGTCATTGAGTCCCTACATAACTTCCAAGACATGTGTTCTTTGTGTCCCAAGTGGTAACGTGAAAGTGGCCTCATGGTTGGTGACCATTACAGTAGTCGTCAACGCCACGGGCCCGTCACAGGCCCGCTCCGCGGCGGGCGCGGACGAGAATGTGGCGCTCACCGCGTGGAATGAAACGGGCCACATTGGCGACTCGGCTTGGGCGGTTTGCGGGGAGGAGGCAGTGGGCGTAGGTCCGGCGGTGGGCGGGTGGTCAGTGGGAGCAGAAACTCCCACAGCCTCGAATTCATGAAGCGAAGCCGGGGTCTTACAACTGAAGCATCATGAGGTTTGATCGCACAAAACATGTTTCCATGCGAGTCTTAAAGCATGGGTGGTGGTGTTTTTGAATACAAGCAAGACATCATGGGTTGTGAGCAGAGTTGTTTGTTGATATTGTGTATTATACAACTGTTCTAAATTCAGATTTTAATGATTACAGTCTTCTAAGCAACACTGACGTCAAGAAGCAGGGACATCGATGGGTTTTGACCTACCAAAGTTGTTTCCTCACTTTTTCAAGATGCGACACTTCGTAGGTATCCAAGAACACTCCCTAATTATCGCTGAGGTTCTACTTTTGAGAGGTTCTAAGAGGTCAGTGTAGGTCCGGTACTGTACATATTCCATACATGGATCTTCTCGGACGGTTTGGACTACTTCCTTCATGTGGAAGCTACCTTTCCCCACCTGAAACCCTTAGCAGTAGCACATGAGTCACCGCGTGCCGATGCACATTGGCCAGACGGACGTGTTTCGCTGAGGTGCCGATGATCTGGAGACGCTGCTAGAGGCGGTTGGCTTGAAGTTGAGTCCCTTGCAGATGGTCCCTCAGCCGCAGGGACCATGCTCGTACCTGGGGTTTGTGGCACGCCACATGCAAAATGCTCCAAATGAGCTCCTTTTTTTTGTGTGGGCTTAGGCAAGACCCAGAGGTTTCGTGTTCCCAGCGCCATCCTTGAGCGCCATTCTTTGTCAATCAGTACCTTTTCGAGTTGTTTTCGTGACGCAAACACCGCGCACATGTTGTGTATTTAGGGACATGCCCCACACCATCCATTTATGGAATAGTTCACCCCGTTTTTGACCCCAAAAAACAAATGACACTTGATCTTCAGTTTTAATCCCCAGCTCCTTGGGCACCATCCGTCCGCGCCGCCCACGGTGCCACGCCCCCACACCTACACCTGTGGCTTTTGCCAAGAACGCGCCTCGAGGTCCAGGAGAGATGATGTCCGAAACAAAGAGTTCGGCTACTTATATACCTATAGACCCCAAATACTACTGTCATGTTTTTAAGGTTCTGGGGTCTTATGGTATAGATCATAGATCATCTTAGATCGGCTGGGGATTTTACTCAGTGCTGAACATAACTGACTATGAACTAACCATACCCATACACTCCATGGGACTGGAATATATGCCTACATTGACCCACCAAACGACCCCAACTGTTGGGCAAATATGCCAGTCCCATGGAGTGCTTGGGATAGTTGAAATTATCCTAACATTTTTCCGGGTTCCTGAAGATCCAAGAACCTGTTCTTGGATTCTGCGGCAAGTTCTCCGTTGGGTGCGACACCACATCGGTCCGGTCCGCGTCCGGGTCCGGGTCGACCTTCGTCCGCTGAGGAAGCGATGATCGGCGAGATCGATGTGGCTCGACGATGTGTCGATCCGGATCCGTTGGTCCAGAGGTCCAGAGACGGCGCCATTCAACGACCAAAGACTCCATGGGACTGCCATATCCCAGACACGACGAATGGGACTGGAATATATGCCGATCAATTGACCCCCCCTGGCACCACCCCAATGTATACGCATATATATATATAGCATGCATGGAGCGTCTGTGTATTATGAAACCGCCTGGCACCACCCCAACTGGTCGGTCAATATGGCAGTCTCATGGGTGTTTGGGTATGCATAGTGAGGGAGTCAACACCTCGAAACTGCCCAATCCAGGGTTTCGGTGGACCTCCCAAGCAGCCCGAGGAATTGGTTTCACGTCTAAAACCCAGGGTGCCCGGATGCCATAGTGCCATGGTGCGATATGGCGCGCCATGAGCCTTGTTCCTTGTTCGGTGGGAGACCAGTTGTTAACTCTGTTTGGGTTCTTCCGGTTCTTCAGGTGATTCAGGTGAAGTCCAACCGAGTCCCCAACACCCAGACACTCCATAGACACTCCATGGGGCTGGCATATGTACATATAATATACCCTCAACTTCAAACGCCTCTAGTAAACTTGTGCCTTTACCCACGTCGAAGTTTACTCAAGACATGTCTTCTCGCCTAAGTTTACCCTGTGCTCAGTTTGGCTGGTTCTTAACCCGTTTAACCTTTCAAAATCAGTCCAGGAACTTAGTTTCAACAATACTATTTCAGAAACTCAGAGATGAGACATAAAATCTCAGAGACATACTCAGTCAGTTGCATTTCATCAGCCTCGATATTGGTGTTTGTCTGGTGTGCAACCCCAAACCTCTTCAATACTCTACATGTAATGTCAAAAATGATCACACATGTCACTAAGCACAAAAACGTGAAACATAGGGTCCAATTTCACGGGGAAACTTGTGCATTCACGGGTAAACTTGTGCATTCACGCTACTTCACGCCTATTTCACGCTATTTCACACTACCCCTTTTTTTCATGTGTTCAAGTGCTCCATGATTTTCGATGAGATCTTCATAAAGCCTCATCCTTTCTGGTGTGGGTATGACAATACATTCTTTCAGTCAAGTGAAATCTCAGATATTAGATCATAAAAGTTGTCATTTTCGACATAAGACATGTATTGATCCCAACATGTCTGAAACGACATCCACAAAATTGTGGTTATTCCACCACAGATCTACTTTGAGCCATTCACACTTGGTCAAACTTGTGCATAGCAGAACGTACAAGTTTACTTGGTTAAACTTGTGCATCGATAACGTCCAAGTTAAACTTAGCCGTTGAAGCCTAGGGTATATATATATATATACATTGGGGTGGTTGAAAACGTTGAAAAGGGATCAATTTTTGACAGCCCATATCCCATGTATGCCATACAACTAATATATATATATGCATAGAGAGAGAGAGATCTACATTGGGGTGGTTGATCTGCATTGATATACATTGGGGTCGGGGTGGGCAAGTTTTGTCCAGTCTCATCTTCGTGTTTGGAACAGGTGGACGGCAATGGGGAAATCGACTTTGGAGAGTTCTGCAACTCAATGGCTCGGCGGATGAGCTCGCGGCTCGGCAGCGATGAGTTAGCAGCGCTGGTCGCAGGGTTGTTGGGAGAGTGGCATCGCTGATCACATGAGAAAGACAGATTGTAATATGTATACCAGGGCCCTCCAACAGGTCTCCTGTGGTAGCTCTTGCAGACATCAAGCCACCCATACGAAGATGTTCTACAATCCAAAGTGGGGGTGCTTCATTGTGAAGAGTCGAAGGGCTTCGAAGGACTTGTTTCTGACCGGCACCTTGGTACTCAACGCGGGAGGCGTTTTGTTTCGTTGTTTTTTTTTTCCCATTTGCACACCTTGCGGATGAAGCACCTGTGTAGAATTAGGGTGTGTCCCAGTAGCTGTTACAGTCAGTAAAGGATTATCACTATTTGTTGAAACAGCCGTCAGCGGTCTTTATTAACCGTATTAACCATCATCATCCACTGTTAAAGGGAATGGGACATACTCAATGTAGAACTGTTTGAGTCAAACAGTCTTCCATGGGCGTCTATGCCGTCGTCTTCACTCGCGTCGGAGAGACGCCCATGTTGACTCCAGACACTCCATGCGGGCATAGGTATCAAAAAAAAAAGAGCATCAAAAAAATATTCCTTGATAGGCCTCTTCTGCTGTTCTCCTGGCCTTGTGGTCTGCGGGTCCTCTGGTAATGTGGTCCCTTGGTCCTTTGGTCCCTTGGTCCTCTGGTCCACTGGTCCTTTGGTCCCCTGGTCCCTTGGTCCTTTAGTCCACTGGTCCCCTAGTCCTCCGGTCTCCTGGTCCTCTGGTCCTGTGGTCCGCTGGTCCCCTGGTATCCTAGTCCTTCTGTCTCCTGGTCCGCTGGTCTTTTGCTCTCCTACGGCGCTCGTCTGTCGATCTCCTGGTCCCCTGCTTGCGCAAATAGAGGCTTGATTGCTTTCTACTAGAGGCAGCTCCGTGGGAAGAAAGTAGGTACTACTGCTACTGCTACCACTACTACTACTACTACTCCTCCTCCTCCTGCTGCTGCTGCTGCTGCTCTGCTGCTGCTGCTACTGCTACTGCTACTGCTACTGCTACGCTGGTGCTGCTGCTGCTGCTACTGCTACTGCTACTACTACTACTACCCCAACCATCCTCAGTGGGCTAGAATATGTTTTTTTGATTACCTTTTTATTTTTTTATTTATCCCCGTTGAATATTTTTTGGATTCTATTTTTATTTTTTTGTTGATCCCTTACCCCTCCATGCGACTGGTATACATTGCCTACGTTGACCCGAAAGAAACCACCCCCCAACGATCCCTTATAAATATCCCCGGTAGCATGGAGTGTAGGCGACTTACTGAACCCCTAAATCTCCCCAATGTAGACATACCAGGACCCTCCGTTTGGGGTGTCTATTTATAGCCCCAAACAGCCGTTATGTAAGGGGTGTCCAGTAACCACCCCCCGACATGCCAGGCCCTGGTATGTTCCATAGCATGGAGTGTAGGCGGCCAACTTTTTGACCACCCCTGTTGGGGATTTCGGGGTCCTATGCAGATCCAGCAGCTTCAAAGAACCCAAGACGGCCCTGAGCTATCTCTGAGCAGGTATCTCTGAGATGGGAATGTGTTGTTCATTGTTGCT